TTTATTATAACCAGCAACGGGTTTGGAATCTTCGAGGGAGTGACTGGGACAATGGTTGGTGGTTTACCATTCCAATTTGCCTACCATTATTTTTATGTCATCTCTCCAAAGCTAGCGTTGGTCCTCTGTCATACTTCGCTCCGAAATGAAAGAAAAGAAATTGGATCCGACGTTTGGACTGAGACTTTTAAGACTATGGGTTTTAAACGTTCGATACTCGAAAATGCTCCTCATCCAGCAGCAATTCCGAATTATGTAGCGACTCCAAAATATGTACCAAGTCATGAATATGGCCGCAGCACTGATAGAAATCCAGAGACGGCATTTGACTCGCTTCTAAATAGCGTAGGTCTCAAAAGACAGGAGGATGATATGTTTACCTTTCGCTTTGCCAAAATCCCTTCGGCTACCGTACACCTCGTGAATTCTATATTGCTCAATGAGACTAAACCGGATCTAGTTTTGACTTTCTCTTCTCGTCCATACCTCTATAAGACAATTCTCAAGTATCATAAAAGCAATGTCGGTGTACAACATGATTTCTCGAGTTTGAAAAAAATGTTGTTTATGGAATTAAACAAAACTCACGAGGAAGACTTACATCTCCGGAAAAAAATCCCAGCTGGCCGCACTTTTAATTGGAATGTACGTGGAATGGATTCAGAATCCTGATCAATGTCAGGAGGATGTTACATATATCGCTCTTGTTTTCTTTTATTTTATTCATATTTGGGCCCATGTTGGCGCACAACGGCTTATGAGGACCTCTTCAATTACAACATTTTTCTATTTCATATATTAGTAGACTATATAGTATGGAGTATCTTTAATACTTATTTTCTTAGTTGGTTTCATGCATAAATATCTCCTACCGGATTCAAACCGGATTATTATTATTATTACTATATTAATATTATAAAACAATTAAAGACTAGTGCCGTAAATTATGATGATGGTAGTAATTGTATTTACGGCATATAAAAAGTGGTTGCAATTACCTTTGCGACCACTTTTGCAACCATACTTATTCCTTTTTTGGATTACTGCACTAGTCTTTACTTCTTATGGTCTTTTGGCTCCTTTTACACTGTAGAATTATAAAATATTTTTCAAAGCATAAAGTTATGTAAAAAAAGTTTAATGAGAAATAAGTAATAGAAATATATTTACTTTTTTTGAATGTTTGAAAGTGTTATTCATCTAACTTCCTAACCATTCACATTACTTTGGTAGTATATAGAATAAAGGTAGGGAAATCAAAGGCATGTAAAGTTATATTATCAGCGACGTCATGATTTATATATGTTGTGAAACTAATGCCGATCATTTTATAAAATTAAACACCCGCGCTTTTTTGATTGCCATTTTTAGATCCTTTTTGTTTGTAATGTTATTATTTTTTAATAATAAGCTCTAACGTTTCTCAATAGACAGCCAACACAAGATAACTCCTATCGAGATTAATATAAACGTCTAACAAAACCAGGATTGACAATGTCAGTTAGTGTATTAGTTATATATGAGAAAATGAAAAAATAAACTTACATACAGTTTTAGATGGTGATGTTTGTGGTATGGTATTAAGATGGAATTGAATATCATTAACATGCTCAAAGACAAATACACAGTATTAGGTTTCCATAATAAGGATGTAATGATGCAAAATAAGATGAAGATATGATTAATTAACCCATTAGATCTCAAATGGAGAAATTAAGTATCAACAATGCAAAAATCTAATACAGTAAATTGGTTGCAACTGAAAAGCAAATGGTGTGTACACACATAAAGAAGTGATGGAGCAGTTCATTTTCAAAATGTGAGGAATATCTATAGATGAAGTGGTTAAATGTAAGAACGGCTATAATAAAATATGGACAGATACTATCAACCCCTCACAGATAAAAATACTATCAATTTTCAAAAATATTGACAAAACTCATGAAAAAAATTAGAAAACTCATTTGGAGAATTTTGTGCAGGAAAAAATAAGATCTATTGTTGCTGCTATGAGCTCAAATTACCCCAATGTTCACCTTGTGCTTAGCATAATCATTAAAAGAAAAATAATACTTGTATTTGATGACACACAATGTATAGTGAGGCATGTTTTAATATTAATGAAAACAGAAAAAAATTGAAAACAATTTTTTTATGGTGGCTTTGTTATGAATATATCAAATTCATCACTATTGAATTCAGATAATAAATTAGTTGGTGTCATGCACTTAGTTAAAGCAGAGTTAGCACTCCTATTGGACTGAACACATCCAAGTCCAATGCATCATTGGACATATCAATGGACGTAATATGATTGTGCCATAAATTTGTAAAAAATTTTTTGATTAATGAAAATATTAAAATAAAAATTTTGGTTTTATTATCTAGAGTTTTGGATAAGGTGGTGTGGGGAGTTCTTTTACAAATAAACTACTTGAATTCCGTTTTACACTGTTGTCATCTCCAGGATGAACATTATTAGCAAAGAATTGATAAAATAAACATCAATGTCAACATTTAAAAACTTTCTTCATTTAAGATTGTTAGGTTCAGAATATTTTCATATTGATATTCTGACCTAAAATGTGGACAACTCCTAAGATGTCTTCTTTTTGTATTAGTGAACTTATTAGCAATTGAACCTTCATAACCAAGCATATTTTTACATGGATAGCAAATTGAAAACTTATTTGACTTGCTTGCCTGTTCATTTAAAACCATTACTTATGGTGTCAAGCAATGCTTTGGTTTTCCACCAGAATGTGTCATTTTAAGATATTTTTTATTTAGGTAATGATTTACATAAATGGACCAACAAAGCTGCGCAAAAATTACCCATGGACAACTTGGACATATATGTCTAATGGTCCAATGAGAAGGTCATTGGATAACTCTGGGTTAAAGAGTTGTCAGTAAAAACAAAAAATCAAGTTAGTATTGTAAAATCATCTTCAACTTTGAAGAAAGAGCCAATACAAAAAGTGGATAAATTGATTGATAACAAGCATATTTTTTATTCACTGCTTATTAAACGAACAGAAAAGTTTCATGGTGGTTTTTATTTTGGTTTCATGGTTGTTGTACAAATTAATTTGCAAAAAAGACAATTCCATTACTCTGGTTTAGATACGTACAAAAGTGTTAGGATTTCAAAACTGGAAATTTAAAAATTATTGAATACAAAATATTTAATTAGATGATGATTGATGTCGAAATATGTGGCTCGATTGACAATTAGACAGCAACAATATTCTCTTTATTTTAAAAATAGCATGTACGCGAGCTTAAAAGGTTTTGTGGAAAACAAAATCTGAGACAATGGAAAAAACCAAAGGGATTAATTTAAAATAGAAGCCTTTAATTACGTGTAAATTTGTACACCATCTGACTGCTACTACCAAAGATACATGTTTGCTGGCTTAATTATAATGGCGATATATTATAAACAGTTCCGCTGTAAATATAAATTAATCGAAAGCAAAGTATCAAGCACGAACAATAGACCCTCTCCATACGATAAGAAATAAGAGTGGAATCACACAGATATGAATCATTTCGTAGTTATGTATGTTAAGCTAATTAGAAACATGATCGATGAAGATAAAACAGACCATAAAATTAAAAATTTGAACCCCTTTTTTTACAATGTATAAGCTGCAGTTTCAAATAAATAAGCGTTTATATATTAATATGTATTTTTGTTTCCGTATATAGATAATTAGATAAAAAGGTTCATGTGGCATAATCGATAACAACAAACAACTTATAAAAAAAAAATTGCCAACTAAATTTGCTAAAGCTAATTAATGAAACAATCTTTTTTCCGTAATAAATATCTCAACATGTCCAAGGACTACTGTTATCGAAAAAAAAATTTTTTTTTTGTGAAATAACTAATGAATTATTAGCTTGAAGCAATCAATTGATTTGATCGATAATGACAAAACAAATGACAATAAAGAAGAAAATGTGTTTCCCTTATAAAATGTGTTTCCCACTCTCAGTGCATAAAACACAATGTTTAACCTTGTCATACATGACCGTAACCATAGACGAAAATATGTTTGTCCCGGGACAAATCTATGTCGCAATGAGTAGGCTTCTTCCTGAGATTCTACAGGAATATTATGATTGTTTAAAAATTGATAGGGTGTCGTAAAAGATTAATGTGATCAATCAAGTAGGTTCAGGTCAGTTGGTCAGACGAAATCAATCCTGTACTTAATAATGATAATAAATAGTAAAAGCTCATATTGCACTCCTCCCACTCGTAAACTTGTTAATATTTAACATTTTGAAAAGAGAAAAGAGCGTAGCAAAAAAAAAATATGAAACGAGCAATGTTAAATCTAGCACATAGACACGCAATTGCCAACTTGCATTTTTGAATTATACATTATTTGTAATAAGTTTTTAAAACAAACAAAATATGATAAGGTAGAAATTGTGTTCCTATTATTTTTATTTGTTGAATGTTCATGATTTCCTTGATTAGATTATCTAATACTAAGAAATAAATGTTACCTGACTAATATAGTGCTTTCTATTTATATTTTTTTAGTAATTTAAAAATAAATCATCGCACAGATCATTTTTTCCTAATAATATTCACCATAGTAAAATGAATTCTTCATTTAAACTACTAAATTTATTAGTAATAAATAATGTAACAATTATAGTGTAACAAACTTCACTCACTATCAAATATCAAATCGAAATTTATTATGTTGGGGATTCAAATTCAAATTCATGCACAACACATATACAAAGAAATTATAAATCGTGGAGAAGAATTTATAATATAATGAAATGGGAGATTTTCCAACTTCATCATATCGAGCGCTAACTGTATGTGATAATTGTAAAGATGAATTCTGTAGAAAAGTTTTATTACAATTAAAAAATAAAAAACCAGATAATGATACTATTGAAGCTGATAATGGTGGTAATAAAGTCAAAGATGACAATAATTACAACAATGAAGATTTAGATTATAAGAGTGGAAATTCTAAAGTTGATTTATTTATTGAAGAAACACTAAAAAAATCTGTAGGTTGTAACGATTTTATTGAATGGATTCCCATTAAAAGAATAATCAACCTGCATTTTCTTACCTCTGGTGGAAATTCAGAAGTTTATGGCGGCAACTGGATGTTACCAGGTACTCATTCTAAAACGGTTGTAATCAAAGTTTTAAAAGATTCAAAAATTATTAATGATAGGATTTTAAATGAGGTAAAGAAATATTATTATTTATTGAAATTCTTTTTCATCTAAAAATCTAATTTATCATCATTACTATGTTCAAATTTAAAAGTTTAAAATTCATTATAGATGTTATCTTGCCAACAATAATTTAATAATCCCATTTTATGGTATAACATATCATGGATCTCATAAAAATTTTGCAATGATATTAAAAAAAGCAGAACATGGAGATCTTAGGAATTATTTATACAAACATCGTTATTTAACTTGGTCAGATAAATCAAAATTACTTTTAGATATTGCAAAAGCTTTGAATTCAATTCATCAAATGAAATTAGTTCATAAAGATTTCCATTGTAAAAATATTTTAGTTGATGTTGGAGCTAAAATTTATATTGGGGATTTTGGATTATGTCAACATGAAGAAGAAATTCAACGTAAATAATATACGCAATTGTAATTTTTATTTGTTTTCTATTTCTTTATTAATAATAATTTAAAATTAGAATCAAATACAATTGAAGGTGTATTACCATATATTGCACCAGAAGTACTGAGAAAGCATCCATACACTAAAAAATCAGATGTTTATAGTATTGGAATAATAATGTGGGAATTGGCAACAGGGGAACGACCATTCGCGAATCAAACTCATAATGTTGAAATGGCTATATCAATTGTTAAAGGATATAGACCCCCAATATCCAATGATATTCCTACTCCTTATGTGGAAATAATGAAAAATTGTTGGAATTCTGATCCTGATAAAAGACCTGATTCATATCAATTAATTAATTTGTATGAAACCTTAATTTCAACTGACCTTAATGTTCTTATCTTTCATTCAACATATAATGAAGAAGATCTCGGAAACAGCTTGAATGTTTTTCAAAAAAAGGAAGGTAATGTTCAAATAAACAAAATAAATCAAAATAGTAAAAACCAAAAACTGATGATTTTGTTTTCTTTAATTAAAAGATGATAGAAATAAAGATAAAGAAAAAAATAAAAAAATAAAAAGTTTTATAAATGAAGAAGGCCTTGGAAACAGTTCGAATGTTTTTCAAAAAAAAGAAGGTAATGTTCAAATAAACAAAATAAATCAAAATAGTAAAAACCAAAAACCGATGATTTTGTTTACTTTAATTAGAAGATGACAGAAACAAGGATGAAGAAAAAAGTAAAAAAAGGAAAGGTTTTATAAATGAAGAAGACCCTGGAAACAGTTTGCATGTTGTTCAAGAAAAAGAAGGTAATGTTCAAATAAACAGAATAAAAAATAAAATAGAAAAAACTAAAAACCAATGATTTTGTTTTCTTTAATTAGAATATATAACAAGAGCAGTAGACTATACTTTAACAATTAAGAGTAGTGGTATTGTTCATGGTCATGCAGTGATTGGGAATAATATTGGTAGTGATCGGTGGATTAGTAGAGTACAATCACCAAGGGAAGAAGATGAAAGATACATTACTCAAAAATATAATTTTATTTGTGAATGGTATGTTGAAAAAATTTTTCTCTTTTTTAATTGAGGAGTTCATTAAGTTTTAATAAAATGTATTCAATTACAGGCTTTCTGTCTGCATCAAAACCAAAATTCAATGTTTGGTATTAGTATTGAAACATTATCATGTTATTATTATTATTATCGAAATTTGCACTGTTATTATTTTTACATATCTAAACTCGATAATTCAGACGCAGCAATCAATTGTTTAAAGTACTTTATAATATAAATAAATGTCCGACTTATCGAGTTTAGATATGTATTATTATACTTTATTTATATTATATTTGACTTTAGGCACGGATTTAGCAAACTATTAATTAATTTTCATTGTAACATTTTTATATAGTTTTGACTTAGACACAGGTTTTAGCAAACCATGCTAAATGCCCAAACTATTTTATCATTTAAATTGAAATCATTATTTTTTGTTTTTTCATGTTTAATAAAGAAAAGCGATTTGCTGCAAATTCTATTTCCAATAATACACCTCCTGGACAAAAGTTTCAGTCACCACAAAACAATTAATTACGCAAAAACATAAATAATAAAACACAAATAAATTTTATCAAATTGTGACTAAAGTTCTCAAGAATATGCATGCAAAATTTCAAATTTTTGTAATGTTTAGAGAATAACAGTTAAAAAAATAAAATGTTCGACCAAAAATATCATAGTTTGCCAAAAAAAAATCAGTTTCTCATAAACTCACATAATAACCACACTTGAAATCGTGCATATGAAAGATTAGATTCTGAAAAAATCACGTCATATTGATATGTTTTTATACAAGTTTCTTTGTTTGCTATTTTAAAAAATTGTTTTGAAATTTTTGCTAAAATCGTAAAAATTGGTCAAGTCAATCTCCTGATTTGAATCCTGTAGAAAATCTGTGGAATCAATTAGAAATTCCTATTCGGAAACGTCCAAATAAATTTAAATAATGTTGAACTTGAGACCGTTTTACATGAAGAATGGAATCAAATTCCTAGAAATATTTATATGAATTTGATAGAAAGTATGCCGAGAAGAATAGAAGCTGTTATATCCAATAATGGGTGGCCAACAAAGTATTGACTTGCATACAAATAAGTAAAATTTCATTTCCAAAAATTATTTTTGATCGAACTTTTTATTTTTTTAACTGTTATTCTCCCAAACATTACAAAATTTTGAAATTTTGCATACATATTCTTGAGAACTTTAGTCACAATTTGATGAAATTTATTTGTGTTTTATTATGTACGTTTTTGCGTAATTAATTGTTTTGTGGTGACCGAAGCTTTTGTCCAGGGAGTGTGTATATGGCCCAAATGGCTAGCAATTTGATTCAATTTTTTGGCTTCCACTAATTACACTGTCAGTGGAAGAGACGGTCTTAATGAAGCGCATAGATAAAAAAATGGATGCATGTTTTTTTTTAATTAGTTATTTTTGATTTTTTTTTTTTTTTTTTGACAAAAGAATATTATATTAACATTCCTTCATTTTATATTCATTTTTATTACTCGAATTAGAAGGCATTCTTAAACTAAAGCTTAATTCTATTTTAAGAAATTTATTTTTATAAATTAATTAAAATGTTGAAACATTTATAAATCAAAGGGATGGAAGGGATGTAATTCATCATAGTCAGTTTAAGCTTTTTTTTATTGGTCCGACATCTTTTCTTTTCTTTTATTATAAATAGAACTTCACATCCGTTTAAAAAAATTTTTGGCAGCGCTTAACTTAACTTAACTTAACGTTAACTTTAACTTTAACTTTAACTACACTGTATGTATACACAACGCAATCATTTTCGTAACACTTGAAATTTCCTTTTTTAAACAAATTCTAAATGAAAAAAAATGATCGTAAATATTCTTTCGTTAATAAAAAAAGTTCATAACTTAAAAAACAAAAACAATGGAATATAATAATGAAAAGTATCTATGGATACCTTATGATAATTTGAAAATGTAGATGAAGGTGGTTTTTGAAATTGTGTACAAACTAACAAAAGATATTAAAATATGCATGATTTATTAAGTATATATGTACAAGTGGTAAACACTACAATGGCATCTGATATACAGTTTGGAATCTTGATACCATTAATGTCAGTGAGTCAACAACCTTTCAATAACATTCCACATAATAAAGATCTTGCAATTAAGATTTGTGAAGGCATAGGACCAGGATTTTCCAAAATTTATATTGAACTAGCATACCAATGTATGGACACATACTCATCCAGATAAACATCCAATTGATTATAGGAACAGCACATTTTATTATATAATTGTAGATATTTTAGAAGAGAGCCTGATGTATAAGAGAAGTATTCGACGAGATGGATGGAAATCATTCATACAAATTCTCTTTCCTCTAGCAGTTTATTATGATTCATAAACTTTTGTCAAGCCACAATTGTTGATAATCAAATGATAATTAATTATTAATCCAAGTTTAATAACAATACAATATTAGCCTTGTATAATATTAATATAACGAAAAAAACATGAAAGTGTTAGTAATAAATCAAACAATCTATTAATAGCCAAAATCCACGGTTCGTATTAATATATTAAATAAAAATTATTAACCAATTGTCTCATTAAAGTTAATGTTTGCATAATTGTCACGCTATATAATATAAGAAGCATACATATCCATAAATATTCAATAAATGGATTGGCGTTCAATCTATTTCCTAAGCATTTCAATGTTAAGAATAATAATGCCTCACCTCATGTAAATGTATTCTGAACAGATTTTTTTTTTGTTCACATTATATATATTATTTACATTTACCATTTCATTAATTGTAAATAACCCATCTTACAATTATTTAGTGATAATTTGGTTAATGCTATAAGAGCCGCCAATATCATTTCATTGCTATGTCACTAATTAATTCCTCCAGCTCATTATGCAAATAGAAGCAACATCAAACACCACCACTTCTAAGATTGGCTGCTAGTCCTGCCAAACCACACAAATCACCCATATTTTTTAGTTTTTAAAGTGGAAAAGTTCTTTGGCGAATTCAACGCTACAGCCTAACAAACATGTATATTATTACTATCTTTCTTAACTGTTTCCCAATTCTCACGAACGTATTTAATGCTCAATCCAATGACCACAATTGGCTTAGAAATATCAGCCTCAATATAAATAGAGAATGATGTACCATACTAGTGTATAAGAAGTAATTAAAACATTTATAAAGTTACATTATTGATAGGAACAGCACTTGCTTGTTTCATTTGACATCCATCATCAAACATTCTTTTGAAAGATTGATTTTAAGCACTTAAAGATGATTCATTGTCGAACTAAAAACGATAACGCTACAACGAATGGTGATGATAAATTTGGATATAATTCTACTCTAGTTAAAACATTAGTTGTTGAAATGTCATTGTTTGAAAATAAATTATCGGTTTGCATGTAACTATGCAATGAATGGAATTTGGATAACAGATAAGGGAACCAAAAAAAAAAGAAAAAAAATTCTATAATTTGTGAAGCAAGCTTTTAATTACTCACTCTCCTACTCTGGAAGGATAGGCTCGTTAGCGATTTAATATGATAAATTAGTAGAATGCAAGTTGCGATTTACCTCGCCGATGAACTTTATGCCTTTTCCGAAGAATATGACTGGGATCTGGATCAAGGTTTGCTTCCTAGTCTTCAAAGATGAAAAAATAATAACAAAGCAAAGGTATAGGTAGGTATATATTGAACTGGATTGTGTCCGCCTGCGGGTAGATATATATATATATATATACGTGCGTGACATTTAATTTGTATGTGATAAATTAATTTTTGGACATGATGACTAATGTTCACCCCTGCAGCGTAGATATATTAATATATATATATATGCGTGCTTGACATTGTAATTGGTATATTGATGAACAAATTAATTTGTGCGTGATCGCCTTGAAATAAAGAATACTTTACTTCATTCAACATTCAACTGTGGCGGTGTTGGATGTTAGTTACCCTGAATCGTTAAATGATCCAAGGAGTTCGCGAAATTTATTTCACCAAAAAGTTTTTCCCGCCATGATATTTGCATAAAAATTATGTAATGTTTACATTTAATGTGATAATCACATAATTTTTGAGTGACTTTTGGTTAATATCATGAGGCCCGACATAAACTTATGTATGTAGTGTAATAATTACGTAAATTAGTGTCAGAAAAATTTCAGCATGCGAGAAATATACGTTTAAGGCAAATCTCAAACCCGGATGCTGCAGCATAGCTCAGGAAAGTCTATAAATAAGATTCAATCAGTGAAAAAAACATCAATTAATGAGAAAAGAGAGATATATACGAAGAGCCATATGCACTAAGGACTATTTGCATTTATAGCTCAGAAATAAAGACATTTCTAACCCAAAAATTAATTTTATTATCAAATTTTTACACAATATAATAGAGAGGATTAAAAAGACAAGCGAAAATAAACTTGCAGTATCACATTATTACAATACATTGCAGTTATGCCACATAGTTTAGGTAGATAATTCAATCTAGCGCAGTCAATCGATACAAGTTGACTTTGATGTGTAATCTGAGTTCAGATCTCCGTTTGATATCAGGTAAAATTCTCATCACACTTTATTTAAATGAATAATACAAATCTATATATAATATGATTTTGTTATAATTTAAAAAGTAAAACCACAATTCAAATACGCCCTAAAAACCCATAAATACTTCACATTTAACCACGGTGGTAATAGATTCTAACTCTGATTCCTTGCTTCTTATATAATCTTCGAATGTCTGTGATGCAGTTAAAATTGCTCTTTCTGATATTTCATCAAGAGGATTAGATAAATTTAATTTGTGAATGTCGTGAATTATGATGATAGTTCAATATTTCGTAATAATAATAATGATAGTTAAAGATCGGTTACAAACACTGTTTACAAACAAATATGCATTTTTGGAAGCAGAATTTCCTTCATTATTTATTTTAATTTTTTTTATAAAAGGAAAAAATAATATTCTCCAAGCTCGTCGATATTATTCAATTTATTGAAAGCCGAGTCCTCCCAGGCAAGTATAATGGGGCTCGTTTACAATTTAGAATTGATGAATTTGACCATGACTTCATCTCCCTCCCGTGCTTTCCTTCCGGAGATAGAGTTAAAGCGTGTAATTTTTAAATAATAAACAGATATTCAACATCCAACTACGTTGAATGCTAAATTGTCAAACGACCCTGAAACATGATGTGTGTTTCGATCATTTTATTTAAGGGTAGAGTGTAGTCATGTGATTTTATATAATGATCGGTGAGGATAATAATTCCCGAACCTCTTTTAAATCACTTGCCTCATACGCAGCTACACCAAAAACTAGTTTTCGTGAGACGGAAATTAACACAAAATCCATTTTCAACATATATCCAATCGTAATAAAAAATATTTTTATGTTTGTTGGAGGGTTATTTCAAAAAAACCTTGTAAAGTTAAAGACAATTTGCGGATACCTTAATAAATTTTTGCGGATACCTTAGTAAAACATAGTAATATATAATTTTCTATATGACGATCAACCATTGTGACCAACCCCAATATGTTATGTTGATTTGTTTTTTAAATAATAATTTAATATTAATAATATTAACCGATTTCTTTTAAAAAAATGAATTCAAGTAAGCAGCAAAAAAAGAAACAGACAAAACGATCGAGATGAGAGAGAGTAAGTGTTTATCATAAGAATGCCACTTGTCATCAATTGTTTCCCATCCATCCTTGGTTAGTTTCATGATTGGCACCATGCACATTTGACATGTGATACATGCAAAAACTTACGTGTAATAGTAAATGGGGAATCTTTGAATTTTTTCGTGTTATTTTTTAAAAAAGTTCATGGATCAATAAAAAAAATAAAAAAATGATTTATTCACTTGATAGCAAAACAATTAGAACAATTTCTAGCGGACAAGTTATCACAAAAGTTGAAGATGTTGTAAAAGAACTAATAGAGTAAGTATAATGATGATAATTATCTAAATAATATATATATATATATATATATATATATATGAAGTAATGTTTTTTTTTCAAGGAATTCAATTGATGCACAAGCTACCTCTATAGAGGTTAAAATAGTTGAAGATGGATTAAATTTAATTACCGTATGTTTTGTATGTTTTGATGTTTTTTATTTCTTTGATCAGCGCAAAATTATTCACAATTTAATTATACAATGATAATAATGAAAAGGTCAAAGATGATGGAATTGGAATTCCTCAAGATGATAGAAAATCAATGGCTTTAAGATATCATACTTCAAAATTAGAAAATTATGACGCGTTGAGTAAAGTTGAGACATATGGATTCAGAGGTTTTTTCCCACGCATATTCGATTCAAAAAAATTATTTTTTGTGAAATATAAAAGTATCAATCGCTTTATTTATTATTTTGTGGGATATGATAGGTGAAACATTAAATTCAATATGTGCGATATCTGAATCTGTTGAAATAATCACCAAAACTGGCAAAGATCCTGTAGCTATTCTTTATACATTAGATAAAACAGGAAATATTATAAGGTAACATTTTTTATTTATTTGTGTAAATACTTTTAATCTAATAAGGAAAAATGAGAAATAATCAATCAACAATAGTTCAAAGTCATCTGGATTATCTCCAGGAACTACAATTAATGTAAATAAATTATTTTCCAATATACCAGTTCGTAGACAGGTATGGTAGATAAAATTCTTTAGTCACGCACACAAACACACAACGTTATAAGCACACAAAAGAAATCAAGTATATTTAATTTTTTTATTTTTATTTTTTTTTAGGCATTAAAGAATAATTCAACAGTAATTGGAAAACATATCCAAAATATATTAACAACATATGCTTTGGTACATCCTAGCATACGATTTTGTTTAAAACAAAGTTATGAAAATGTAGCAAAATCCAAATTCAAAGATGGGAATTGGATCAAACCATCGTTAGAAACAGCGATGGCATCAATAGGACAAATTTATGGTCATGAATTAATGAATCAGCTTCAATATGTTTTGTGGGATTCTCAAAAAGATAAACACTACAATAAATCAAATTTAACAAAACAAGATGAAAATTACAATAATAGCAATGATGATGATAAAAGTGATAATAGTGATAATGAAGAAGACAGGTTACCAATTGTGATTGAAGCAATATTACCAAAAATTGATGCGAGTAAATATTACTTGATAATATTTTAATAATATTATTTGGTAAAAAAATAAAAATAATGGCGGGGAGGATCTCCTAATCATTAATTTATAATTTATTTATTATGCTTTGTTATCAGAGCCATCGATGGTTATGAAAGCTGGTAGAACGTTTATCTATGTTAACAATCGTCCTATTACTACTGCTAAAGGAGAAATCAAAAATGTTTTTCACATTGTAAAAAAAATGTACAATGAAATTTTAACTATACATGGCCATAATAATAATGGTAATCAAAATATAATTTGAAAAACGAAAGACTTAATATATATAATATAAAATATATAATCATATTAACTATGAAATTATTTGTTTTTTTTTTTGCAAGTAAATAACAAAAAATCACCTTTTATGTGGATAAACGTTAAGATGCCTACTTGGATTTATGATGGTATATTTTTCATAAATTTCATAAATATCGTGCATTACATATTATAATTTTTAAATTTTATTTTAGTTAATGTTGAACCAAGCAAAAATCTTCTACTTTTTCATCATAATGGTTGTGTTGAGCGAGCAATTGAAAATGTGATGATAAAATTATATGGTATCAATAGTGCAAAAATTATCGAACAACAACTACAACAAATTATGGAAGTTGATGTTGATGTCAATAATCTTGATAATAACATTAATAATAATAATTCTAATAATGATGACATTGGTATTGGTGATGGTAATAATAGGTATTTTATTAAGATATTATTTTCAACCATATATTTATTTCTATTTATTTATTAAGAACGACTTATTTCTTTAAATACAGATCAGAAAGATTATCAGATTCACAAAAGGATTTATTATCAACATCATCATCTAATATTTCAATTGACGAATCATTTACTGATATGAGTTTATCTTTACAACAACGTCAACAACATCAACAGCGACATTTAATATCGCCAAATTCAGATTCAACTTCGACTAGTAATGAAAACTCAGATCCTGATAATAATCACGACAATATTGAATCTATTCAGACAACTGAAATTGGAAAACGTAAAATCTCATCATCAGAAACCATTCCTGACGATGATAATGAAGAAACATCTTCGACTATTGATCCTGGTAATATAGTTGAAAATCACAATTATTCTACAAATTCCAACATAAATTCTCATCCAACAACATCATCAATAATATCATCTTCAACATCTTCAACTTCTTCAACGGTACCAGCATCTAGATTTTTCAAAGATTATAACAAGGCTATTAACAACAAGAATAATAATAATGGATCAACTACTACTAATAATAATCATAACCATATTCATAACGAAATACGCAATAAACGACAAAGACTTAATAATTCAAATAGAAAAGGTACTGATGATAGATGTGATTTAAATGGATTTTTGGAAGTTTCTGCTATAATGAATAAGATTAACAATGACAGTAATGATGATAACAATCTGTATAAAACTAGTATAGCAAATACAACAAATGTAGAAAATAATGATGATAATGGTAATGTCCTATTAATAAAAGAGAATTCACGTGGTGGCAGTGGTGGCAGTGGTGTTGTTATGCTGCAACCTAAAATCGATGAACTCTTTAATCATGATTCTAATAACAACGATGATGATGATGGTGATGACAATAATACTAACAGTACTAGTAGTATTAATAGTAGTATTAATAGTAATAGTAATAATAATAGCAACAATAATAAATCAAAAAATCCAAAAGGTTCACAAAGAGCACAACAGCCACAGCAATTACAACAACATCAACAACTCCTTAAAAAGAAATTATTGCAAGATATTAGAAAAGCCAATGAAAATATTAACACGTTTAATCGTGAATTGAAAATTAAATTTGATAAAAAATCAATTTGTCATCCCAATCATGATGATAACTATGATGATGGTTATGATAATTGCGGTAGTGGATTAAGTTTATCATCGTTAAATAAGATGGAGGATGGATTATGGACTATCACAAGAAAACTAAATGACAAAGTTATAGATTTATTGATAGTTCACGGAGAAAGGTATGTTAATTAATTCATTAAGTGATGAAGATAATATCTTTTTTGGTAAATTACTGAAAGAATTCTTCTTTTTGCAGAATACGTCAATTAGTTACCTTGCAAACGTTAGTGAATTCAACTGAATTGAATCCAACCAAAAAATTATTGAACCCAATTGACATAAAAGAACCCGAGTAAATATAAAGTTTTATTCTAATATTTATATTCATAACATATGATTAATATCAATGCTATTTCATTCTCTCTGTACTTTATAATAATGACAGACTTTTGGAATCAGATAAGATTATATCATGTTTAAAGTATCTTAAACATCAACAAATTCCAGATGAGAGTGGTGTAGGAGTTTGGTGGAATCTAGTTACACAGAAATGTGTTACTGCAAATGGAATTAAGTTTAGATGGAGAGAAGATCGTACGTAAGAGAAGAGAATAAAATGGAATAGATATATTTTTAAATAGGCATTAAATAAATAACAATGATTATTAATAATTTATTTCCTTCCTTCTTCTTTTCACGTAGATGAAAATAATATGCATATACAAATTACACACATATCACCATTGATTCAATTTGCTACAGCAGTAGAATATTTTACGCATCTTATGGAACACCTTTCCACATTAAACATTGATATTGATACAACAAATACTGCAACAAATACGATGGCATTATCAAACACAAGATCTCAACAGACTATACAGATACTTGTACGAGAAGCTAAACAATTAATCAAACAAGAAGATTTAGTTATTAGTAAAAGAGATGAGGAAATGACACAAAGAGTAAAAGATGCCACGTTATTATTAATGAAAAAAATTGGAAATTTTCATCACATTTATGATGACGATGAAGGTAGCGATCATTACATTGATGAAGGATCATTGGCGATAGTAGAAAGAAGAAACGATGATAGCGAGATAATGTATAATGGAAATGTTGTTGTAAAAGTGTTATGGAAAGTAGTAGATTAAGAATTTTTTATAAATAAAAAAAAAACTTGAGGGATTTGCAGTTGGTTTATAATTTATTAATTGATAAGTCACTCATATTTGCATTGATAAATGTATTTATTTAGCAGCATGAAATTAAAAATAGACAATATTTTCAGCAAATTTTAACATTTGATAAATTAAAACATTTAATTGATTGATTGATTAACTATTGCAATAATATTACTATCGAAAATCATTATTGTTTTCCCAATTCTTCTAAATCTTTCAACATATGTTCAGGACCACTAATCTTATAAGAGAGAGGACCAGGTTCATCAACATTTAAAACTTTAATGACACCATCATCGACAAACATTGAGAAGCGTAGACCACGTATGCCAGCATAAGGCAAGTGCTGAGTCAAATCTAAAGCAGAATGAAACTTCGTCTCGCCGTCGCTAACCATTAAAATTTTATCGTCAGTTTTAAGCGAATCGGCCCATTCACGCATAACAAATGGATCTTTTATAAAAAAAAAATAATTTAATATCAATCATAATAAAATAACAATAAAATAAATAATCATTATAAAAATGCATACCATTCACAGCAATGCAAACAATTTGCTCAACACCTTTTGCTTTTAATTCAGAATAACGACTAACATAATCAGGAATATGTTTAGAGCTACAAATTGATGTAAAGGCACCTTTTTATTAGGGAAGGAAAGAGTAAAAATTAACTTTTAAATAATTTTTTTTTTTTTTAGAAATAATAAAATTATTTATTAATTAATACCTGGAATTCCAACCAAAATCACTTTTTTTCCTTTGAATATTTCTTTGGTAGTGATTTGTTTTGGTTCTTTGTCATCTTTGTTCATGACACCAAGGCATAAATTATCAGGAATACGATCTCCAACTTTGACATTTACCATTTTTTATGATTTTTCTTTTAGTAGGTGTAGGTTTTAATCGAGCAATATTTTAATTTTTTGTTTGAAGAATTATAGCAAAGGCAATTTTTTAAAAAAATCCATTCTTTTTATTTAATTCCCACTCATTCAATATTAATTACATCATCATCGTTGATTCTAATAATGATTACTATTATTATATCATACTGCTATTATATCATTACTGCCATACTATACTATTATAACATTACTGCTATTATTTTAGCCCATTCTTACATCATAATTAAAAAAAAAGTAGGTTGTTTTTTGACTAGCCCTTTTTGCTAAAAAATTTTTTTTGGGAAAAAAATTTATTGGTTACACGTACAGAAAGAAACAAACAAAAAGAAAAAACAAAAACAAAAAAAAAATTTTTAACGTGATTTTCCAAGTGTATTTAAAAGGCGATGGCAGTGGTGGCAAAGTCATGAAGTGGTGGGTAGAAAAAATGGCGTTATTAAAAATCCTGTAGTAATTATTCCGTAATAACAAACATGTTATTTATTAATTCCTAATATATATATTAAAAATCTCTCATCTATCGAAGCCTGATGAATGAACGGATATTTGGTTTATTTATACCAATTAAAGGATGTAAAAAGAAGAAAATATATGTGTGTTATTATCAAAGATAGAGAAAAAGGATCTGCAATCGTTTTCACTAATCATTCGGATCATCATTCTATTTATTATTTCTAGCGAGTGTGAGTGATTCATTCTGATTATTATTTTATTATTTCCAATTATTATTTTAAGGGATATTTTATAAATATTTACTTTGTATTTAAGCAAGTACATGTTTATTAATTTAGTTATTTAAGGGAGTGATAAAAAAGGTGATTCTTTAATGATGATGAATTTCAGGAGATTTTTGTTTTGAAAAAATTTTTCTTTTAATGAACAAAAAAAAGGAAATATTTTATTTATTTATTTTGTAAATAATAAATAAATAAATAAATAAATAAGAGAAGGAAACTCTGGTTGATCTTTTTAAGTCATTGTTTAAATAATAAGACTAGGAGGTAATAATTAGTTATTATTATCATCGTTATCAAACTAGATATTTTTTTGTTTTCTTAAAAGCAAATAAATAACAAATAAATAAATATACCTGCTTTATTATATTATTATTTAAGAAAATTTTCCCTCATAATCAATTAATTATCTTAGAATAGAAAAAGGTTGTACTACACAATAAAAATATGTTGGGAATATTTCTGATTTGTTCTTTTATTCTTTTATTTAACATATGGTTGGCTATGATTGGAACGAAAAAAAATACAAATCGTTAAATAATAAGTGTATTACAAATTAAAGTGTGCGCTAACGGTTTAATAATAAGAGATTCTTCATGTTTAAAATAATACATTGTAATACATATTTAGATTATAAGCAGTTTGTGTTACTGTTTGTTATGTAGAATATAAATCAACAAAAACGCAAGAAATTTTTATTTCTTGAAAAAAAAAAATTTTTTTTTTTTTGAATTTTATAATAAACCATTGTTTTTTTAAATTAAAATATGCCGTGTACTACATTTAGATAAAAAAGTATCTAGTCATGTATTATTAATATTACTTTTATGGTACACGTGTGAAATAAACTTTTGACCACGAAATACTCAAAATTATTGTAAATAAATAATTTTAAAATTTTTTTTTTCATGTACATAATATGTTGCATATTTATACAAATTTAAATTGATAAATGATTACGTGTAAAAAATAAATAAAAAATAAAAATGCCGCCCCAAAAGTAAAAAATCAAACTAATACCAAAATTAATATATTAAAAATTTACGGAAATCAAAAATAATTAATTAAATTTAATTATTTATTATTACTTTTGTGACTAAATTTGAATAAATTAAAAAATTTTTTTTTAAAAAAAAAAAAAAAAAAAAATATATAGAAAATTTTACAATAAAAAGGAATTTTACCAAAAAAAAAATTTTTTTACCAAAAAAAAATCCTTTAAAAGTCATTCTTTTTTTCCTTCCACTTTCTCTAAAAAAAACAAAAACATTTTTAAATTAAATATATAAACTAAACCATATTTTCAATAATATCATTTATTATTATGGGTGTAAAGAGTTCTAAAACCTCGGCATCAACAAGGGCAGCTCCAATCGTTAACAGTAACAAAGCTGATAATAATAAACTAAAAAAATACATTAATATACGTAACTCTGTACTTTTTTCCTTTGACGGTAATAACTATTACAACAATGTTTCTGCCAACATACAAGAAACATGGAGATTTACCGGAGGGGGTAAAAGAATTCATAACATTAAAAATTTAAAAATATTACCAAATCAGCAACAACACTATCAAAACCTATATCAAGAACAACTTCATCAAAGAAAATTAATTAGAGAAGAAATTGAAAGACTGCAACGTCAAAATAACTTGTATAAAAGAATTTGGCAAAATGCTTTCTCTTCTCCCGTAGAAGAATTATTAAAAAGTGATGAAGGAATCAGAGTTCTCGAAGTTGGGTACGTCGGAAGAAGAGAAATTGTTACAAATAAATAATAATGGTTTTATTATTATTTGTTGGAATTTAAATTAACCTTCTTTTTTTTATTTTTTTTTTAAAAATCTAGTTGCGGACCCGGATCTTGGATTACTGAAATGTCTGAAACTTATTCTACTTCATCATTTACTGGGGTAGATTTTTCGCCAATGATATTTCCCGAAGAAAAGAAACCCGACAATGTTAAATTCATACAAGCAAATATTTTAGATGGTTTACCATTTTTAGATGACACTTTTGATTTTGTTAATATGAGGTTAATGGTTACAGCTTTCACCGCTACTGAATGGGAAGAAAAGGTTATACCCGAATTGGTGAGGGTGACAAGACAAGGTGGTTATATTGAACTGATGGAAAGTGATATTCAATATTCAAATGAAGGTCCAATAGCTCAAAGATTAACAGATGCATGTATGTATGATTTTATTATTATTAAAACAGTTTAATTTATTATTAATAATGAATATTAAATAATAACACCGTTTATCTTTTTATTATATAATTTTAGTATTGCCGTTTATGAAATCTAAAGGAGTAATTGCTCCAATAAATACTTATGTTCTACAATCACTCTTATCAAATACTCAATTAGCCAAAGATATTAAAACTGAAGAAAAGTCTTGTTTCCTTGGTAAATGGGCTGGTGAACTTGGTGAACTGGTAAGTACAATAAATTATATATATATAATTTATTGTACGCATCTAACAATGTTATTTACTTATTTATTATTTAGGCTGTTGACGACATCACAAAAGGCTGGAATGCTGTTAAATTGCCAATGTCTACTTTGATGAGGATTAAATCTCATGATTATGATGACATTGTAAATAATTTCGGAAAAGAAGTTGAACAATACAAAACTTATTTTAAAACTTGGAGATTCTCTATTCAAAAAGTCTCAGCTGCTCGCTCCTCTTCCATAACCACTCCTTCCCCATGGCAAAATTAATCATCATTTAATAATAATAATCAACGATCAATATTAATATTTCATCTATCATCATTATCATCAACACAATAATCACTATTCATTTATAAACGTATACGGCATCAATTATTCATGTCACTAAAATCATCTCACTCATCCAACTTGATTATCATCATATCTCAATTCATCAATCATCATCTTATCGCATTTCACTCAATCCCTTATTCACACTTTACTAATTTTTTAAATCCCATTCATTTATTAATTTATTTATTTAATTTTAATTTTTATTTTGTTTTATATAAATTATTTGTAAAAATCAGTTTTTGTGTGATTATAATAATAATATATATAACATTGATATATTATTATAAAAAGACTTCAATCAGTTTATTAAATTAATATTGAAAAGAAGAATTCTTTATGTAACATAGTCATTTTTTATTTTTATTTATTTATAATATAATATAATATAATACAATATAATAATATAATATAATATTTATTTATTTTAATATATATATATCTAATTAGCAAAAATAAAAAATTAATAATTATTCTTATTATACGCTCCTCGCAAAGTTTCCAAGTTTGTAATAAAAAATGTTCAATTCTGCGGCCCAATGAAATTTGTTTAAAATTAAATTAATAATTACAAGTGTTATTTTGCTAATATAATTGTGGCTTTATTAGAAAAATAATAATAACTGGAATTGTTGAAGGATCAAATGGTACTTTGTCCATTTCATATGAAATATACTACTGTTCCAAACTCAACTTGTCTTTTATTACTGTTTAATCCTTTCTTGAATGTTCATTGTGTCATGTCTATTGCAATGTTCATGATGATTATGCAATGCATTTGATAATCTCATCGCCCAAGTAATAATAACACTAAGACCATGCAGAGATGAAACTTTTAAGGAGCCAAAATAAATAAATAATTAAAATAATTAACTAATTCCGTTCCAAAAATTTCATTTTTACAAGTTTGTAGAATTCCTTAAAAATCATTCCCAAAAAAATAACTTGATGTTCTTTGACGATGGTAAATCAGATGGTGGTGATTGAGTTGACGATCGATTATTATTTTGAGTTGGTGAAGTTTCTTCTACAGGCGCAGGATAATACCCATGTTTAACGCCAATCCTGATCATTTAAGTCTTCCTACTGTCAACATGCAATTGCAAACCAGTGACCCCTCATAGCCATAGATTTTTTTCCAGAGGTGAGATATTGGAAAGCTTTGGACAAGTGAGAGGCTTAACAGTCTCTTTGACAACAACGCAATTAATAAATTCCAGGGCAGTGCTCCCCCGAAAATTTAATTGCATCATCCATCATATCAAGTAAGATTATCTTATGTACACGAGGAAGATGAGGATGATCACAATGGTTTAAATATTTGAGCCCCAAGTAACTTCAACATCTATAGATATCCGATAATCAAATGTTGCATATTGAGTTGAGCCCAGTTTTCTTTCCATGAGAGAGAGATCTTCAACAGTCACGTTTCTTTTCTTACCTCTGACATTTCTTATGATTATTTAATATTAATAATGACAATGTAAAGCAAGTATATCAATCCCCCGGCTTTAAAAGGGCTAAATAAACCACCTGATTGGTCTGAGCCCATTTGTTATTGTGATAAAAGAATCTTATATAATTGCCTGTCACACTATATAAAGTGGACTTTCACTCAATATAAAAAAAGGAGGGGAGGCGCGTATATGTATCATCACTAAATTAATAGTTACGCGCACAAAAAATAAATATTATTAAACGTTTTATTTTCATTCTCATGTTCGTATATACTATTGCTACCGTTTTAATGTATGGATCGCTTCTATTCGAGGTAATTATCATAAATGTTATATTTTTGTACGTGAAAATCAAATTTGCGCCAATTTGAAATTTAATATTAAAATTCTGATTGGCTAATTTTGAATTTCACACGCGTGAATTTCAGATCCCAAATTCACGCACAACATTTTGATGAATTATATATGATAAATGAATGGTAAAATGATAATATCTATTAACTAGAAATTTTTAATGATAGATTCGTTGGCAGATTTTTTTTTTCTGCCGCAGAAATTCACCGCCTTAGAGGTCGCACCCAATGAATAATATTCGGTGAATATCCAATGAATATTTGGTTAATCGGAACTTTGTTTTTTCATTAATTTAAAAATGAATATTCAATGAATTAATTGTCAAATAAATTCACATTTAATTAAATTTAAAATGGAAGACTGTATGTACCAGGAAATTTATCCGCTAAATCGAGATATAATTAAATCATGTAATATGTTACACTAAAATATTATAATAATAAAAAATCGTTTTAAAATGTTAACAATAATCTTCTATCCTTGTTTGTATTTGATGAGGATTTTTATAAGACGAAACATAATACACATGTAAACTTGATAAGTCGGACACAGCAATCAATTGTCTAAATGCTTGATAATATAAATAAATGAACGAATTAACTTAATTGTAATACTAATTTTAAATGGAATAACAGGTGGTTTTGTGGGCCTATGAATTATGCGTGCAAAATTTCCTATATCTTCTTTTTCTATAATAATAATAAAGAAGAAAATCAGGAAACACGAAATTTTGCATGCATATTCTACAGGACCTAGCTACAAGCTATGTATACTTATTATTTTATGTGTTTTCATGTAATTGATTCTCCAAAATTTTGCTGTACCATTTAATCTAATAAAATCTATTTGAATCTACTAAAACAATTAAACAAAGGATAAATTTATTATTTATCAAAAAAGAAATTAAAGTATATAAATATGATTGATTTTGGACTCACCAGTAAAAAAAAGAACCAATAAATTATATATAAGCAAAGAAAAATGGGTCCCTAAACTAGCACAAAAGATTTAAATCATGATTATTATTCAATATGTTTGATGTTATAATTGACATAACAAACAATTGCACCACTCAGGTAGTAATAATACCAAGGTCACGCAAAAATGAAACTTTAATAATTCATATCTACCCAGATATCTGGGATTCACAAGAATAAATATTATAATTCCTTATGAATAATAAATCTGATGTTGATCACAGGGTGTCAGATTTAATTAAAATTTCTTATTACAAACATGCATTAGGGTGCTTTCACATGCCCCATATTCATGGAACATTTTCCACAGGTGGGCCATGTACATGTTGGAAGGCTTTGGACAAAACTTTCCCCTCAGACCAGGCTGGCTGTTACCATATGAACATTTATCATCGATGATAGCTGGTACTTGACTAGGTTCTTGTTCTTTATAATATTGGAATATTTAAATTGTGCCAATGTTTATTAATTAATGATGAATATAGCGTGTGAAATTCGATTTAATCACATTTCCAATTGAAAATATCCATGTGATAATGCAAAATATATAAATACTCGACAAAAAATTATTAGATTTTCTTCATTCGTATTATTTCAAGAAATTTGATATAACATGTCTTCACAAATTCCAACTTTACTCAACCCATCTTTTTTGACATCTGGTTTAAGTACTGGCTGCTTTAATTTTGTAAATAAAATTGCAGAGGCTAGAAGTAAACAGGTTTGTTCGATAGATAAATATTATTGAAAATAAATCTTTTTTTTTTTATTAACGATTAATTAATTACTCACTTTTATTGCTTACCAAATGGTTGGACGAATTATTAATAATTGATGATAAATAAAGGAAGAAGATCAAATTGTTGCCCAAGAAATAGATGGGTTAAAAAGTAAATTGAATCTGCCAGAGATTTCATCGGTAATAATAATTTAGAATAATAGATTTTTTTTTAGAGAATCTAAATAATTATTTGAATATTCTTTTTTTCTTATATATCTTTTTTTTTAAAAATTTTTCTAAAGACTAAAATCAAAGATTATATAATTAGATTGATTTATTGTGATATGTTGGGACATAATGTAGATTTTGGACACATTCATGCAGTGAAATTGGCTCAAAGTGCTAAAACTTTGTGGGATAAAAGAACAGGTTTTTAATATTTATTCATTCATCGATCATTCAATTGCACGAATAATAGATTAATAAAATAATATACTGATTGAGTATATATTTTTTTATAGGATACTTGGCATGTTCTTTATTTTTACATGAAACTCACGAACTAAGTATAATGTTGATCAATACAATATTGAAGGTTAAAAATCTAATTATTTAAATAATCGGATATATCCATTATTGATTATTTTCCATCACAGTAATAATTAGCTATTTATTTTTTAGGATCTTCAAAGTAATGACCATCTTGAAATTTGTGCAGCATTGACAGCACTTTGTCATTTATTGAATCCTGATATGAAACCAGCAGTAATTGGAATTGTAGAAGATAAATTAAATCATCCAAAGTAAAAAAAAAGTTGGATCAAAATCATTTATATTTTTTTGATTTATAACTTTTCATTATTATTATTACAAGTAATTATTAACTCATAAATTTTGTTAATATTTTCATCATCATTGAAAGAGAAATTATACGTAAAAAAGCAATTATGGTATTTCATAAATTATTTCAAGACGATCCTGACATGATGGTTACATATCCAAATCTAGAAGTTAAATTTCGCCAATTATTGACGAGAAAAGATCCACATACGTTGAATGCTCTATTATGTCTTTATGCAGATTTTGTAAAGGTAAAAAAATAATATTAATGAAATCAATAAAAATAATATTAATCAAATCAATATATATATATATTTCTTTTTTTATAGGCAAACCCTGCAAGTTTTAAGGATTTGGTTCCAATTCTTATAAATGTTTTAGAACAAGTGTTGGATAGATGGTTGCCTAGAACTTATGACTTTCACGGAGTTCCAGCTCCTTGGATTCAAATTAAAACATTAGAAATTATGGGAATGCTTGCGAAAGATGATGAAGAGTAATAATAATAATACTAATATTAACAATAGTCATTTATTTAATACATAATTTTAGTAACAATCTGTTTTTTCTTTTGAAGTGTTAGTACAGAAGTCGGACCAATTATAATTCATACATTAAAAAAAGCTGAAAATGGAGTTGACGCAGCTTATGGTAAATTTTTTGATTACAATAATTTATGTCAATTCTTATTATATAATATTTTTCATCTTAATTTAATTTTTTTTAAAATAATAAGCAATAATTTATGAATGCATTCGTACTTTATCACAACTTCACCCAAAGGTTTTGTCATCAATTATTCACAAATCATCAACATCATCGTTAACAGCATCAATGTCGTTACCAGCAACAACAACAACAACAAAGCCGGATAATAATTTTTCGCCATTTAATGCAATTGCACGTTTTCTGAGTTCAAATAATCATAATTTAAAATATCTTGGTTTAGAAGCTTTGTATACGATGGATCCAATATGGTGGGTTGAGAATGATTGGTGGACAGAAGAAAAGATGAGGATATTGGTGGATTGTTTAGAGGAAAAAGATGAAACATTGAAGAAAAAGGTTTGGTAAAGTTTTATTTATTAATTTTTTATATTAATCAATTAACCAATTTATATAATGGCGAGGGAACATGTTTAAATAGCAACTTAAATTAATTTTCCTCTCCATTTGTAGACATTAGATTTACTTTATAAAATGGCCAATCCACAAAATGTAGCTGTAGTTGTTGAACATATGTTAGAAGCCTTACGTACAATATCGTTAATACCCTCAGATGATTTATCAAAGAAATTGTTGGTTAATAGAATTATTGAGATTTCTAAAAAATATCCTTGAATTTACACTTGAAAAGGTGTCAAATAACCTTGTTAATTTATTTAATTTTATTGTTATTATAACTTAACTTTAATTTCATTTGTATTCTATACATTTGGTACTAATTCAGAATGGTTGATT